CCCCTCCCGATTTTTTTTCAATTTGATGTTCCTTCCTCTCTGTGACGCCTGAAGTCAACTAAAGGGCTAATGATAACCACCAAGACGCCTGGCATTTGATATAAATAATAAATAAATACCTTTTTAACTCACTGTTCAGGTATCCATTTTTTGGCAACAAACTTCCTCAAAGCCTGCAAAATAGTATCTAAGTTTACACTGACTCATAGACTACAGATTTCTTTCAATACTTTTTTTCGAACTTTTGATTAGACGTCTCCTAGAATTGCACGTCCTTCAACAATATGTAGGAAGATAGAATAGGACATCTTGTAGTTGCACCTCCACTATCTAAGCGGTCTTCGCAGTACGGGTTCAGTACAGTTGCAACAATTCCAGTAAGTAATCTAACTGCGCACTGGCTAAGACGCCTGAATGAAATGAACTGCATTAGGTAGACACCGTGTTTATTCTTGCACTAAAATAAGATTCATCGTTGATTACTATTACCAGTGTATTTTATGAGGCACACCGACGTAAACAATGCTGCTTGGGCTCTGCAGGTCTATGTTCTAGAAGTAGCAGGAGTGAAGGAATAATTAAACAACCACGAATGTGTAATCTAAGGTCCCCATTGAAATGAAGCACGTAAATCAAGCGACCAGTCCAAAATTTTGACGCTTCGAAAGTTATGTGCGCATATCGGAGCTTCTTTGGAGACGATGGTTGCAGTGCCTTGACATCATTTAGAACGCACTCTTCTAGCGGGACCATTGTTATAGGATTTCGATTCCAATGACCTAACGCGACGCTCTTGTCTACTTAGCCATTCTAAATAGTTGCACTTTCTTCATGAAGTGATTTTCCTTTGTGAAAAGACGTTAGTTCTCGTATAGGCATCTACTTAATTTTACTATTATTTTTTGGTTTTCTGCCATGGTAGTCCCATCATTTTAAGAGTAAGCGTTCAGCAAGAAGTTAGTAAATAGCTCCATTCAATACATTGCAAGAGTTGTAAAGTTAATGCTTATATAACTGGCAAATAGGTTCGAATTCCCAGTACTGACTGGGAGACCAACACAGAGCAAATTCTTAAGGCGTAAATAAGATCTTATTTTTTGCAGCACCATTGACAATAATACTTTGCGTTATTATACTGGAGACCGGACGAATAGAGTAGAATCATCTATTCGAATTAGTATTGCGAACTAACAGTGCGATCCAAACAAACTAGAGTTCCAAGGTTATCGTTACATTCGTAACCAATATAATGATTGAAAACATCCGAAAACTGTACTCCTGTACCAGTACTATAACATTGTGAAAACTAGTAAGACTTAGTTAAGAAAGCATTAAGGAATTAAGCTATCACCTATAGGTAAATGGTCTATGATATTGAAAAGAAATATTGAATGCCTAAATCAGAGTAGTGCCCTACAACGCGTCGACTACAATAAGAGATGCAGCCGGATCCCTTAAAATACCCTCTTAATTGCGCGTCATGTACTCAACTACGTAAATGTCATAATAGTTTGTGCTGTACAATTTGAATATTGGGAAAATAGTAGAATGTGTACTCGAGGAAGATAACATGAAAAGAACTGAAATCGTGGAATATGAATTGTTTTCATTTACACACAAATATTATTTTTCTATTCCATTCAAGTGAAAAAATTGATTTTACTTGATGTTTAAATAAAGCATGTTTAACCCTCATTTCAAAGGGAATCCTTATGACAGTTGAGCTCGTGAAAAAAAAGAAGATCCAATCAAGCACCAAACGTTGAGATTTAAATCATTCTCACATTCCGCAGAGTGCCAACATGGATTGAGTCAGTTAGAATTATCAAATTGAACCAGTTATGCATTGGGCATATAAGGTAATAACGCTTATGAAAGGTGAAACAAGCAGCCCCAATCACAAACTTAGCTGCACACACAATCAACACTTAGCAAACATGTGTCAATGGTCAAGTTACCGGATAGCAACTCACTCAGATTTTGGTCAACATGTTTCAGACTTACTCCACGTGGTGCACCCTGGGCAACGTAAACTCGTACGAAAAAAATAGTCTTATAACTGGTAGTTGACTTCTGACTTCAAACTACCATGGCCCCACTGTGTTATATTCAACTACTTACACAGTACTCACCACACCATTTTTCTACCTTTGTGTCTGCCTCTTTTACATCTTTGAAACACTCCTCTGATCCCACCCCCCCCCTTCGGACTTTTTTCACTTTGATGCCCTTCCCCTATGTAAAGCCTGGAGTCAACTAAAGGGCTAATGAAAACTGCCAAAACGCCTGCCATTCGATATGAATAAATATTGTGACAGTGCAAACTACAAAATCTATAACACTACTTAAATTAGCATAGTAGAGTTAGAAATCATCGATCAAGTAGTGATAGGAATTCACCACGTTTGGCAAGCATCCAGATATCTTCAACAACAATTCTAAACGAGGTAAAAAAGAAAACAAATTAAAACAAAACAGATACCAGAGTAGATTTAACAACGTAGTAAGCCTTAACTGTAGTTTACATTCTAATTACGAATTGCCTTAGTCCGATAAAACACCACAGTATAGCTAAAAAATCCGAAACGCATCACCATTAAGAGAGTGGAAAACAAACAAGCTCACCAATGTATATTTGTAATAACCACCCCAAAGACAAAATAGGAGAAAATCGAGGATGTGGAACAGAATACAAGTAAAAGGATAAACATTTCTACAAACAATAGAAAGGGGTGGAAGAAACCGGATTTTGAGTAAGGAGCTTTACACCATTCGTCGAACCTCGAAGAAACGCTTCAAATAGTAGACTTGCCCTAGACTCATACCAACGATGATAATAGCTTCGAAAAGAGCCCATAGTACAACGCGTGAATTGGTATTTTCATTGACTAGAAATCAAGGAACGTTAAAGTATTCACGAAAGCTTACTTAAACGATGGAGATTCTCACGGACTTCAAGATATTCCATTTCATGTTTGGCATTAAGGACAGCATTCGATAGTTCATTAACCATATCAATTAACTTGCTTTGCTCAGGAGTGGTATCATTTACCTTTTTTATCCATATTGGTGCCTTTTCAAGAGCGAAGAAAACTGTCTTAGGAGTAACCGTACTCATGCTATTATCGAAGCAGTAAGTATATTTACCCTCGGCGGTGGCAGTGAATGAATAGTGCCCACTAGATTTCTTATCAATTTTGTACAGAACATCATCATTTGGAGCGGTAAACTACAGATAAGGGTATAAATTCAGGAAAAGTTGAATTACCTTAACGTTGATATCATAAAATCCACCTTCTGAAACTTCGAAAAATAACGTAAAACGATCACCCTCCGTTGCGCGATCAAAGAAACATGCTTCATCATTTGCATCAACGGTTACAAAGTAACCAAGGGAAGTTACTGCAAGCAATGACAAGATAACCAAGAGGGAACGCAACATCTTCCGAAATGACCGCCAAAGAATATAGAAAATTAAAAATTGTTGCTTATATTCACTCCAATTCCATAAATATGACGCGTCTGGAAAAAAATTAATACCAAAATACTTAAATAAGTTTTTTTTTAAATTAATTACAAAAAACTTCTAATATTTTAAGAACAGAATTTACTCTTGAATGATTGTTGAAATTTGGACGCTAATATAAAGAGGGTCAAACTAAGCCTGAGGCATTTAATTTTCTGAATGGAACGTTTATTTAATATGAGCCATGAGTTAAATTCACAATTAATATTTCCATGAATGAATTCACTATAAAGACTGCTTGAAATATAAATGATATAGTACTTTCTCCAGAAATTAATTTTCTTTAAAAATTACTTGATCCAGGCTCATTTCTTGACAGAAATCAATCAATGCCGTCAATTGAATATTCACTAAAAATTTCCAATGATGTTAGAAAATTAATAAAAAATATAGAAAATATAGCACATCTAATAAGCTTACTTAAAAGAAAACGTGTTATAAATTTTAATATAACAGATGCTCGACTTAAAATGGATATATTTCCACTACAATTCGTTAGAACACTTTGACAAATTGTAAGGTATCTGAAAATAGTATGCGCTGTTACGTATCGAAATTTTTAACAATACGAGGCAAAAATTTTATCTAAACGGATTTATCGACAATAATATTTCCGTTATTTAAAAAATTGCATGGCAAAGAATTTGAAATTCCATGATATTTGTAAAACTTTGCCAAGAATCCAAAAAGACAAATCTCAAATCCATCGAGTTACTGCTTTGTCAAGAAATGGAAAAACCCGCAAATTAAAATGTCTACAATTAGAAATATATTATCTTTAGGACTTAGAACAATTCATAAGCCCCAACCCGCCATTCCAATAATAAGAAATAATTTAAACGGAATCGTCGGTTGACTTCTGATTTCCAACTACTATCACTCTACTGTATGTCATGTTCCACCACCACCTCGCAGTACTCACGTTACCTTTTTCTCTACCTTTGTGTCTGTCACTTTTGCATCTGCGAATCACTCTTCTGTTCCCCACTCCTCGACTTTCTGCTATTTTGATGAACCTTCCCTCTGTGAAGCCCGAAGTCAGCTAGATGGATAATGATAGCTATCAAAACGTCTGCCATTTGAAATAAATATTTTACTACCGTCAGGCCTATTTAAGTTATCTGCACTAAAAAATTTAATGTAATAATTTCTTTCAAATGAAAACTAATTGGAAATTTTCTAAATTAAAAACAAATTATTTCCACTTTTTCTTGGAAGATATTGCTTTAAAAATTTAGGAGATTTGACCACCCTCACACTTGGTTACGAAATGGGCAGGCAGGAAAGCAAAGGTCATCGAGTTTTCGTAGTACTTAGTAGGTAATACTTCTAACATTTCAATATTTATAGGGACCACAGGAAGTTCTGGAAAGTGAAATATCACCGTGTTCTGCAAGCTATCTTTATATTCGTGCCACTATAGTTGAATTATCAATACGAGAGTTCTTTTTTTCTAAATATACACATAGTTTACATGGCAGCATGGACAAATTGAAAAATAAAATTATTTCTGTGCCTCTGTATGTCGAACTCCAATATTATTCAATTATTATTATATGCTACGACGATTTGCTTAAGTCCGAGACATATATAATAATTTTTTACATCAATAAATTTCACTCTAATATTCATAAAACTTTGGTTTCAGTTGTAATAACTAGGAAAAAATATTTACTTAGATCATTTATTAGAACTTTATCAATTCCAATTTATTAATATTTAATGTAATTCAATGACAAAACTCTTGCCAATTTTACCCCGTTCTGCCTTATAGTCAAATTAAACGTCAATTTAGATAGGCTGAACTAGAGTTATATACCATTTAAGATTTATTTTGAAAGATTAAATTAGGATTTTTACAAACTCAAATACTGAAATTAAATTTCCGTAAATTTGTACAGTTATTCATATTGTTTCCACATCATTAATGAATAAATTTGAACAAATTCTTGCTTGTAAATTGAAAAATTTACAGCAATTAACAAAAAAATATACTTTAATACTTATAACTGCTTGTTTCAAAAAAATTCTGAAATCATAAAACAAAGCATAAAATCTGCGTCACATTTTTAATTTTGCATTTCATTTAACAAACTACTAAATTGTATTGGCTCTCACATTTGAAATGAATACTGAAATTACATATTTGATAATCAATTTAATCATAAATTTATATTTAATGCCCGAAATTACTTAATAAATGTTTGATTTCTTTTTTGAAAAAAGTTCATACAATTCTTCTGAATTCTGAAATTGGAATATATACACGTAGTTTAAAGCTACCTATTTAGGTCGAGCGCACTATTTGGTCACAGTTGCTGCGATGGTAGGCGTGTGTTTTTGCCCGTAATTTTTTCTATGTAGGGTGCTCACAAAACTTTGAGATTTAAAACGAAGCTCGGTAAAAAGCAAAAGCAAAACCGTACTTTACCTTATTGGGTGCGTCAACGCACTGACAATAAGATCAGGTAATTTTTTTCTTTTGCTTTGTGATTAACTATTTGTAGGTACAATGCCAAGAGACGTCATTGGAGAAGGACCAAGTTGGGCTTGTAAACTGTAAATTGTATCGTGAATATACTTGGCTTCATAAAGGAAGTTGTCTTGTTTTTTCTACCGCAATAAATGTAAACTTGCATCTTTAAACTAAAATTTTCCATAACCCTTAGGAACGTGAAACTTGGGAAACTTTGCCATTTTTTGATTTTTTACTGTCCGATAGTTTTTAATTGCGTGGCATTTCTAGGTATTTTTTTGCACAATTCTTGCTCTATTTGCCATTATGTCATTCCTAATGCGTTATCAAAGCGCAGCTGTTGCCGTGCTTTATATTCTGTCTGTTATATTTTTGGTAGCTATCCTCTGCTTAATCTTGGTTTTCGATTTTGCCTTTGTGATCGAATGATCCCTGAGCAAGTCAAGTGTTAAGTTTCGCCTTGAGTTTATTAACCAGGCGAGTTGTTTGTCTTTTGTTTGGGTAACGAGCTGTTAATGTTGAAATCCTGTTCTTCCGAACACTCTGTATCGGGTGTGGTGTTTGTCAAAGTAGTTAATCGTAGTTTCGGATGAATTAATTTTAGGTTTCGTATTCGCCTCATGTTTTGAACTGAGCGCGCTTCTATTGCCAAAACCATGTGTGAATTCGTGTTGCTACGGTAGCTGGCTTTTGTCTGGCTCTTTCTACTTAATTAACTTTAGTAGCCTTTTTATATACTGGTTACTTCACTGATTGAATACTCATCTAATCATTTTGTGTCGATATTTGGACTGTTCGGTCAGTTAACACTTGTAGGTGAGTTTTTATTGGCCTAGTTCAACTTTTCTTAGTTCTTAACTTTGTCAGCTACGCAACCTCTTTAAGACGTATTCAGCCAAATTAGCTTGTGATCATGGATGCGAGGACTTGGTTTTATTATTACTTTATATCAGCCGATCATAAAAAACCTGCCAGTTGTCCGATCATTGAACAAATGATTGAAATCGGTTGGGGCTTGAAGTAGTGCGGAATCAGGTTATTTGTTTCTTGATCCTTTGATGGGCTAAAACAGTCGTGGAGTCTGGTTGGGCCATCGTTAATTTGGGACATGATAGAAAGGTCTAATAGTCTTGAGCCAATGCGCAAATTCGATAGAGCATGGCAGATCTTTTGTGCAAAGGGTGTTATTCCGCTTTTGTTTCTTAATTTCAAATGTAGGATTGTGATTTAAATTGGTAGGTTATTGTTGAGGCCATGTGTAAGGTTGGTTAGGTGAAACGGCCGATTCTCTGTTAAGCTAGTAAATCTTATTTTTATAAGAATGGGATTCGTGATAGGTGATCGCTCCTTTATTAGCCAATAACCGCAACGATGAACTCTTCACTGCTATTTTTTTCGTACGACCATATCCGTGGGTCAATATTTAATAATTGATAAGCCAATGAGCTTCTTTCGGCTGCCCGAAAGTAGTCAATTCGACCTTCTATGAGTGTCCAAATAAATTTACTCCCTTCAAGCCAACAATCAGTTTATCTAAAGTGTTCAAAAGTAGATTTAGTGATAAAGAATAATAGATTACTTATGGTCCAGGCTATTAGAATAGCCGAATCCACGAGATGGCATAACCCATCAAATAATTCCACAATTTTGCGGTGAAAACCTTCACAAAATAAAACAGATTAAGTCTCAAAATTTGAGTATTAGGACATGATGGGTACTGAGTGACAATGCCATGATACATATATATATATATATATATATATGTATTGTCATCATTTGCATGACGGGAAAAGATTTTATTCAAAGCAAGTGTATGAAAGATAGTCCAATTTTCATATTATGATGCTTGCCATAAAATTGTTATGTGAAATATTTACTCGGATTGGCGAATTGAGAAGTGATAGAACGAATTTCTCACCAAGGAGACATGTTTGTTTCTTCGAAAATAGACTTTGAACATGATTTAATAAAAGTGGACAGGAGTTGGTTGCGATTTCTGCCAACACATAAGCATTGGCTCCGAATTAAAAGAAGCCAGTGGCGAAATGGCAATTTAGTCCTACAGTAACTGAACCAAAATACGGGAGCTGTAGCATTCCAGCGTATGACAATGCATCTGTGCGACCTAACGGTGAATTTTATCGCTTGGTAATCTATCGAACAGCGAGCACCAAACAGTGAACCCCTCTCGACTTACCACAATTCGTCCCGCCTTCTTTCACCATCCAGACACCCTTTGAGGATGTCCTATCTCTAGTTTCTCCCTCTCTATCTACTTTTCTTTTCTCTGTTTTTCCCTTGTCTAGTACATAGACATTTCAACTTAACCCTTAATCACCCACCTCCTTCGAACGTGCTATTGGCTCGTGTG